TGCTAGACAAAATTACATTACTGTCTTCTTTTCATTCACTTGATACTAACGATTGTTTCAAGTTACTTCACAAACTTTCTGGCAGCACACCAATTCCTTCTGTTGTTAAATTGGGAGCCTCATGTACTTCTACTGATAACACCAAAGCCAATTTGTTTAATATTTTTTTCTGTTCTGTGTACAAAAGCGAAACGTTTACGTATAACGTTTGTTCTGATAATATTTCCATTAACTTGCGCGAATTATCGTTTGGTGAAAGTGATGTAAATAGTTTACTTAAAAAGGTACCAGATACCACAGCAGTTGCAGCTGATGGCACTCCACCATTTGTTCTCAAATATAATGCTGATGCACTCACGCCTATGGTATATCTTCTATTCAGTCAAATTGTTACCTGCTGTATTTGGCCCGATTTTTGGAAAGAGGCGTTTATCATGCCTTTTCATAAGTCCGGGCCAAAATCTGACATTACAAATTATCGTGAAATTAGTATTTTACCGCGCTTATCGCTTTGCTTGGAAAAACTGCTTTTTAATTTCATTTATTCTAATGTTCGACACAAACTTTCTCGTAGACAGCATGGCTTTGTTAAAAAGCGCAGCACGTTGGAATATGTTGAAAATATTTACAAATGTATTGATGCCAATGAAAAGTTCTGTTCTGTATATTTTGACATTCAAAAGGCTTTTGACTCTGTGTCAAACAAACAGTTGCTGAACAAGCTGTCTTCTTTTAGTTTTGACAAAAATTTTATCATGCTAATTTCATCTTATCTTTCCAATGGCTCACAAAGAGTACGTATTAACAATATTCTATCTTACAAAGGTTACATCTCTACCGGTGTACCACAAGGAAGCATTTTAGGACCATTTTTATTCCTTATTTATATCAATGACCTCCCGGATGTTGTCAAGTATTCCTCGCCGTCTTTATTTGACCTGAAACTGCTTTATCGAGACAACTATCATGACAATTTTCAGTCTGATTTAGATTCGGTAGAGAACTGGGTAACCCAAAACGATCTTGATTTCCATCCGGACAAAACTAAATTCATTACAAACAATAGCTTTATTTTCAACCTTTATCTTAACGGGTCAGAAATATGCTCTGTTGATCATATCAAAGACTTGGGTATTTATATCTCGCCTACTTTGTCTTGGAATCACCATGTTTCTGCGAAACTTGGTAAAGCCACAAAGTGTTTTCATTATTTAAAGCGTACTGATCCTTTCAACTCACCTGTTAAAACTAAGCTTCAATTGTACATTTCTTGTGTGAGGTCCATTTTACTTTATAACTCTTGTATTTGGTACCCAAATTTATCAAAACTACGTGATTTGGATAAATTCCAGAGAAGGCAGTAAAGTGGATAATTGGTTCCACTAATTATACTGACAGTCTCGTGATGTTAAACATACTGCCTATTTGCTATCAAATTATTTTTACTGATTGTCTTCTCTTCTTCAAACTGTTACATAACTGTTACGACTTCGATATTAATGACTATGTTACTGTTAGTGAATAAATAATATGTGAATTCAACATCTCATTGAGACAAAAAGTGGAAAAAAAAGTTTTTATTCAGTTCCACTTCCAATATCGGTACCGCTCATGGATCAAGTGTCAACCTGTAAATTTCCTTGACTTTTTGCTGGATTGTTCTGTGTTTTGAGAAACCGACACAAGTGTTAAGGTGCATATCTGAGATAATCACACAACCGCAGTACTTGCAACTACATGTCTTATCGTCCGCAGATTCGTAACAGCGCTCTTTATGTCATAAAACATGATGAAAACCATTGCTGTAAAAAATACCTCTTTCTCTCCTGTGCGCAGGACTACAGTTTTGTAAGCCCAAAAAGTCATTATTGAACAAAAAATGCAAATTTTTGTGTGTTCTGCTATAAATACTTATTCCGATCCATTTCTTGAAATAAAACCCAGCCACTTTGGTAAAGTGTTCGTCTCTTTCCTTCTGTGATAACACATCGCTGAAAACATTGAGAGCATAAGAAGCAGATGAAAATATGACGCTCTCATAGAGTCTAACCGAGGACTTAAAACAAATTTTTCTGAGTTGGACTTTGGATTGTATAGAGCAAGAGGCAGCATAGGCTTTTTCTTGAGATGTTCCAGGTGCTTGGAACCTGTCAATTTAGTGGATAGCACTATGCCTAAGTATTCAAACGAATCCTTGAATTCAATTTCTGTGTTGTTGAAAAATAATTGGTCGGCCCTGGCCAGCCTTCCGCCATTTCTGTGTTTCATCACCTTAGTTTTGCCAACATTCACTCTGAGACTGCTTCTCTGGCAATATTTTTCGAGTACAAACATTGCGTTTTAAACACTGTCAACTTCGGTCGACCCAATCGCTAAGTCATTGGCGTAAAAACTCGTGAAGCAGCCTGTGCTTTCAAGTTCTGCAGATAAATCTGTTAAAAATAATGCAAACAACAGCGGTGACAACTTATCGCCTTGTGGAACGCCAATAGTCTGAGATATTTTGGTGGACAAATACCCATCCGAGCATACTTGGATATTATTTTGAACATAAAGATTGTACAGAACTTTAGTGAAGTGTACAGGGACGCCATTTCTCTGAAGCTTGGTGAATAGAAGTTGTCTGTCAAGCTTGTCAAAAGCCTTCTCGAAGTCAACATAGCAGACGTAATACCTTTTCTTAGAACGGATTCCTCTTCTAGTTGACTCAATTAGCTTTTTCGCGGCAAGTATGGTGCTCCTACCCTTTCGAAACCCATACTGCGTATCAGGAAGTAACTTTTGAAGCTCAACCCAGTTACTTAACCGATTGTATAGAATAGCAGAATAACATTTGTAAACACAAGAAAGCAAAGATATACCTCTATATGAATTTGGATCCGTTTTTTCGCCTTTTCCTTTGTAGAGTGGTTTTAAGTAAGCATCTAGCCATACAACAGGACATGTAGCATTAGTAAAACAAATATTGAATAATGTAACAAGGAATGAAAATACTAACCCAAAAGAAGATTTCAAGACTTCGTTAGTGATACCGTCGGGACCAGCAGCTTTTTTATTGGGTGAGTTGGCTACTACACGTGTTATTTCTGCTAATTTTATTTCACTGCTCATTTCGGGTATTCGCTCGCTCAATGAAGTTTGATAATCATGATAACCAGTAATTTCAGCATTCTCAGGATAAAAGTTGTACGATAACGGAACATTCAGAAGTTTATCAAAGTGATCGAACCAGGTGTCAGAACTAACAGCGCATTGCGCGATCGGTGGTTATCTGGTCTTAAGTATGGTCCAAAACTGAGATTTGTCAGACTCTGCTACGCTGAGGGTAAGTTCCTCTTTCGTTTTCTCATGAGACTGTTTCTTAGATTGGCATAATTTTTTGAATTCTTTTTTGTAACATGCAAACACACGAATATTTTCTGTATTTTCTTGTCTTCTGCAGAGATCTCATTGTCTTTTCACTTTTGCGTGGAGCAAACAACAGCTTCTGTCGAACCAGACCTTCGAGATCCGTTTCTTGGCAGCTGGAATTGACTCTCTAAATGCCGAGATGAAGTTTCCGTACCATCGATCCAACGACTCGACACACGGCGTGCTGAGGATTTTAAGTTTGTATTCTAGCTTTTCCAGATCGATTTTTCTGATATGCGGAGTCTTACTGTCAGCTCTTTCAACGTCGGTGTGAACTTTGAATCCAACGGTGCAGTGCTTTGTAGCAGAATTATCTGTGATAGTCACATTGTCTGAAGTTAATTGTAGGTTGTTTGTAAACACTAAATCAATGGCACTGCGGCCATTATGGCAGTAGTATTTTGGTGCCTGGGAGCTATTGAGACAAGCAAACCCTAATTCCCATAAGATATCCAATAAGTCCGTGCCTCTTTCGCCCCGATCCAGGCGACAGTTAAAATCTCCTGCAATGATTGTAAGCTCTTCCTTGTCGATTCTGGATAGTCCTTCGGATATGTCAAAAATGATATATTCTAGTTTTGTACAAGGTTGAAAATACGATAACAAAAAGTTCATTTTGCAGTTTTTGACTTACACAATAAGAACGTGTTGGGATCTAAAAATGATGCAGCTATTTGCTTGAAAGTTTTTACTGATCGCAATAGCGATACCGCCTGACGGTCTTCCCACATTATGACTAACTGCTGGCGAAGAATAACAGGTAAAACCAGCTATTTCTGCGTCCTTTGCGTCCATAGTCTCTCTTAACAGTAAAAAGTCGTGGGATGTGACAAAATCATTCGGTTGTAATTCAAGTGAAGTTTTCAGCCCCTCCACGTTCCAAAGCAGTGCCGATAGTCAATTTTTCTTTGTAACTCGGTTGTGCTTGATAAAATAAACCCCATCGGGATCTTCCCGTCGCACAGCTTTCAATTCTTCTGAGTTTTTTGTTTTCAAGCTGTTGGCTTTTTGTCAAGTCTTTATTGATGTAAATATTTGTGTAATGTTCGAACTCCTTGAGTTTTTTTGCCAGTTTCAGGGTGTTTTGAGCTTGCAGCTCTGATGTCAAGGAGACAAGTATCAACTGTTCTCCATTTTCGTTCACTTTACCAATTCGTTTTGTACTAGTAACGTCAATATCTGTTCCTAAGTCTGCACTCAGCTGCAGCATGAATTCTTTGTCCTTCGGTTCGTCAGCCTTTTTGACTCCACAGACAATGACGTTTTTCGCTTTCCGTTTCGACTCCGCCTCTTCCTTACGAACCCCTTGTAATAATGTGCTGTATGAAGGTGCGTTGCTTTTAGGCGCTTCGACAGTGGTGGTAGACGCTTGGAGTTGGTTCTGTAACTGTTCGATTGCTTTCTCCTGACTGTCTAGTTTTTCGGCGGCACAAAAACCGCAGTACAGTGGTAGTTTAAGGAAGTCCTTTGGCACTACCTTCGGTATCCAAACCTCAACCCACGCACCACAGCTGTCGCCCATCGAACATTTGAACCAGTGTGTTGCTCCTTCTTCTTCTTTAGCTTTTCTAACCATCGTATATAAAACTATTTAATAAGTTTATCACAACAATTACTGGTAACAGTGAATCGAGACCGGGTGAATCGAGTGAATCGAGACCGGGTAACAGATCCAGTCAGAGAATGGTATTCTCTGCAGGGATTTCAATACAATATCAATATATTGAGCTCAATATCAATATCTTCCATTCAATATCAATATCAAATAGGATGAAATTTCAATATCAATATCAATATCTAAAAGCTCAATATCTCAATATTATCACTATTTTAAGATACCAAATCTTACCCGCAAATTCTGTTCCCTTGGGAGCTTTTTCCAAAGAACAATTCATAGCGTCAATAGTGTTTTAGCAAAAGTCGACATCAACTCTACAACTACAGTCTCACAAACCAAGACTATACTCTTCAATTTCCTTAAACAGCAACTTCAATCAACCTTCAATCTCGACAATCCATGCACTTTCTTCATCAAATGCCGTTGCAACACATGTCGTTCCTGAACATTAACAATTTAACTCAAAGCTTGAATTACGCAAACTCAAAATTTCACTTTTATATGTAGTATCATTCACTAATAAAGTTTATTCCTTCTTCTAAAAAAAAAAATTAAGCCTTGAAAGACTTGAGCACATATACCAAGGACCCAGATCAGGTAGTTTTCTTGCAGAGAGAGTCTCCCTCGAAGTACACCTTACACTTTCCTTTACTTTTCACTAATTTATGGAATTCCTATGGTTTTTTGATTGGGCGAAATGATGATGGGCTAGTGTAGTAACTTCAGTTACCATGATAATTTCCGATTTAAAAAAAAACCTATGTTAATATTTGTGCCTTTCAGAACCATGTGTAATTGGTTGTCTCTTTCTCCAATGAAAAAAATGTGGTAATCGTTGCTTTCGATTTCTAAAAATTGATAAAATGTTATGAGGGTCAATCTAGTGCGGCCAGGCAGTATACTAAAGAAAATTGTAGCCCATATTTTCATTCGATCAATTTGTACTGGGCAGTGCCGGCACTCATTTTCAACCATATCTATGTGTGCTGCGAAAAAAAATGTAAAGCACCTAACTGCTATTGAAGCTCAGAATATTGATGAAGAGTTGTTCGCTTCTGGAGCTTTCAGCGTGGACCAGTTGATGGAATTGGCTGGTCTTAGTGTAGCCCAAGTTGTGTGGGCCGAATATGGGGTGAAAGTTGTTCCTATAAGCATTGATGAAAGAAGTGAAGATAATAATGTGCTTGTGCTTTGCGGACCTGGTAATAACGGAGGAGACGGATTGGTAGCTGCTCGCCATTTAAATCATTTTGGTAGGTTGTTTACGTTTGCGATTTGCAAGGGTTTTGTTACCGGGTACTTGTATAATTCTCGTTGAAAACTTCGTTCACATAATTCGCACATGTAACCCCAATGCTTGGGTTGACCGGGTCCGAGACCGACCAGGACTTGTTTTTTTACAGCACTGGCTATTTATAGCACTAGCTAGCTCTTTTTTTCTGGATATTCAGTTTTTTTATCCAGTCGGAACATCTTCATTTTGCTATTAAATCAGAACAAAGACGTATTCGGCCGAACTATTTTCCTATCTGAATCTTATGGAACAATAAATTTCTAAATTCAATTCAGCGGTAAATTTTGCAAATTTTTTGCAGAGGTAACGCCTATACTTGGGATAACGAAAGAATGGCGTTTGAATCCGGCCAGGGCCTGTTCTGTTTGCTAACTGAAAAATTTTCACTTGATAAAAAGTTCTCGTTCTATTTTTTCTCTTCATATTATTTTCCTTGTTGTTTGCTGTGGATCCCGTCACAGATTGGAAGGGCATAATTGCCCAGTGGGCGAAGATAATTCAGGACTTTGGTGGGTTCTTTCTGTAGGACATTGTAGTCAGGATTCGGACCGAAGATTTCGTTTCTGATATTCTGCAACGAAGGACATTATTTTCCTTCTTTGGCTTTGATATCACAGCATGAATTTTTCTTAAGAGTTGGTGAAAGTAGTTCAGACTCTTTAATAGGTCGCGCTGAATTTTTCGTTGGTGTAACTGATGTAGCGTGATAAAAGAGAGGAGCATTGAAGAAAGTAGCTTCACTGATCAAAGTGCGTTGAAATTGTTTGCGATCATGGACGCAAAACTCGAGCAAAGTAGGAATAGGACTGGTCCTTGTGTTTTTATGTGGTTTTAGTGAAGTATTCAAAGACCGGGTAGCTGGATTGATAGCCCTCGAAGATTCAAGGGTTTATTGAGAGACCGGACTGCGTTTATTACGTTGATTGTTATCGTGAGTTCACCGGACCATACATTCAAGCTTATTCCGTTTATCGACCGCAGATACATTTGCGGAAGCAGCTACACCATCCCAGGAGTAAGCTTCAATGGAAAAGCGAAAATCAAAAGGGAAGATTTTGCAGAACCTCTTGAAGAAATGAAGGCTTCGAAGAATCCATAAAATTGTAATCTGGCACGAAATTTATAATATTACAATAACAATCTACCTTAATAATTGATATCGACCCTGTAGTGTCCCTAAGCTTTGCGATTACTCCATTTCTTTTTTCCTAAAGTTGTTACAAAAGTGTATTTTCAACGAGAAGGAACCATAAACATCCTAGAGCAGCTAAAAAGGACTGGGATTCCCTTAGTTGACGCAATGAGGAAGCTGATTTTGAGTAGAAAACGTAAAATGGACGCCGCCTGGAAAGATCTAGCCGAAGCTCACACTTGAATTGTTTCGGAACTGAAGCTTTTTCGTTTGTGTGGAGATAAAATGATAAATTAACGACCCCACTGATCAAGCCAAAAACAAGCAGAGAAAGAAAGATTGGGAAAAAAGAAGCACCACAAATGGAAGGTGAAAAGCAAAACAATGAATTTTAAGCCGTCGAAGCAAACGAAAGCAAAAGAAATTACTAGAAAAAATTAGTCAAATCCTGTTTTTGTGCCTCCAAAAATCTTAATTGACAAGGAGGGGCATTGATAAAGAGTTGTTCGCTTCTGGAGCTTTCAGCTGGAGGGAATTGGCTGGTCTTAGTGTAGCCCAAGTTGTGTGGGCCGAATATGGGGTGGAAGTTGTTCCTGTAAGCATTGATGAGAAAAGTGAATAGAATAATGTGCTTGTGCTTTGCGGACCTGGTAATAACGGAGGAGACGGATTGGTAGCTGCTCGTCATTTAAATCATTTTGTCAGGTTTCTTACGTTTGCGATTTGGAAGGGTTTTGTTATCGGGTACTTGTATATTTTTTCGTTGAAAACTTCGTTCACAAATTTCGCACATGTAACCCCAATGCGTGGGATGACCGGGTCCGAGACCGACCAGGACTTGTTTTTAATAGCACTGGCATTTTCCTGATTAAGATCAACCTCTGTCTGCTTATTGTGTGTCACCTTAGTTCCCGCAGCACTGTCTTCTTTCTGGATGTTCAGCTTTTTTTTATCCAATCGGAACATTCATTTTGCTATTAAATCAGAACAAAGATGTATTCAGCCAAACTATTTTCCGATCTGAATCTTATGGAACAATAAATTTCTAAATTCAATTCAGCGGTAAATTTTGCAAATTTATTGCAGAGGTAACGCCTATACTTGGGATAACGAAAGAATGGGGTTTGAATCCGGCCGGGGCCTGTTCTGTTTGCTAACTGAAAAATTTCCCTTTGAAAAAAAGTTCTCGTTCTATCTTTTCTCTTCGTATTATTTTCCTTCTTTGGCTTCGTTAGCACAGCATGAATTTTTTCCCTGAGAATTGTTGAACGTAGTTCAGACTCTTTAATAGGCCGCGCTGATTTTTTTCGTTGGTATAACTGATGTAGCTTGATAAAAAGAGAGGAGCATAGAAGAAAGTAGCTTCACTGATCAAAGTGCGTTGAAATTGTTTGCTATCATGGACGCAGAACTCGAGCAAAGTAGGAATAGGACTGATCCTTGTGGTTTTAGTGCAGTATTCAAAGACCGGGTAACTGGATTGATAGCCCTCGAAGATTCAAGGGTTTTCAGAGACCGGACTGAGTTTATTATTGGCGTGAGTTCACTGGACCATACTTTCAAGCTTATTCCGTTTTACGACCGCAGATACATATGCGGAAGAAGCTACACCATCCCAGGAGTAAGCTTCAACGGAAAAGCGAAAAACAAAAGGAAGATTTTGCAGAACCTCTTGAAGAAAAGAAGGCTTCGAAGAATCCATGAAATTGTAATCTAGCACGAAATATTGAGTATTACAATAACAATCTAGCGTAGTAATCGATATCGATCCTGTAGTATCCCTAAGCTTCTCCGATTCCTCCATTTCTTTTTCCCTGAAGTTGTTAGAACAGAACGAGAATTTTCAATGAGAAGGAACCATAAAAATCGCAGAGCAGCTAAAATGGACTGGGATTCCCTTAGTTGACGCAATGAAGAAGCTGATTTTGAGTAGAAAACGTAAAATGGACCCAGTCTGGAAAGATCTAGCCGAAGCTCACACTTGAATTGTTTCGGAACTGAAGCTTTTTCGTTTGTGTGGAGATAAAATGATAAATTAACGACCCCACTGATCAAGCCAAAAACAAGCAGAGAAAGAAAGATTGGGAAAAAAGAAGCACCACAAATGGAAGGTGAAAAGCAAAACAATGAATTTTAAGCCGTCGAAGCAAACGAAAGCAAAAGAAACTACTAAAAAAAATTAGTCAAATCCTGTTTTTGTGCCTCCAAAAATCTTAATTGACAAGGAGGGGCATTGATAAAGAGTTGTTCGCTTCTGGAGCTTTCAGCTGGAGGGAATTGGCTGGTCTTAGTGTAGCCCAAGTTGTGTGGGCCGAATATGGGGTGGAAGTTGTTCCTGTAAGCATTGATGAGAAAAGTGAATAGAATGATGTGCTTGTGCTTTGCGGACCTGGTAATAACGGAGGAGACGGATTGGTAGCTGCTCGTCATTTAAATCATTTTGTCAGGTTTCTTACGTTTGCGATTTGGAAGGGTTTTGTTATCGGGTACTTGTATATTTTTTCGTTGAAAACTTCGTTCACAAATTTCGCACATGTAACCCCAATGCGTGGGATGACCGGGTCCGAGACCGACCAGGACTTGTTTTTAATAGCACTGGCATTTTCCTGATTAAGATCAACCTCTGTCTGCTTATTGTGTGTCACCTTAGTTCCCGCAGCACTGTCTTCTTTCTGGATGTTCAGCTTTTTTTTATCCAATCGGAACATTCATTTTGCTATTAAATCAGAACAAAGATGTATTCAGCCAAACTATTTTCCGATCTGAATCTTATGGAACAATAAATTTCTAAATTCAATTCAGCGGTAAATTTTGCAAATTTATTGCAGAGGTAACGCCTATACTTGGGATAACGAAAGAATGGGGTTTGAATCCGGCCGGGGCCTGTTCTGTTTGCTAACTGAAAAATTTCCCTTTGAAAAAAAGTTCTCGTTCTATCTTTTCTCTTCGTATTATTTTCCTTCTTTGGCTTCGTTAGCACAGCATGAATTTTTTTCCCTGAGAATTGTTGAACGTAGTTCAGACTCTTTAATAGGCCGCGCTGATTTTTTTCGTTGGTATAACTGATGTAGCTTGATAAAAAGAGAGGAGCATAGAAGAAAGTAGCTTCACTGATCAAAGTGCGTTGAAATTGTTTGCTATCATGGACGCAGAACTCGAGCAAAGTAGGAATAGGACTGATCCTTGTGGTTTTAGTGCAGTATTCAAAGACCGGGTAACTGGATTGATAGCCCTCGAAGATTCAAGGGTTTTCAGAGACCGGACTGAGTTTATTATTGGCGTGAGTTCACTGGACCATACTTTCAAGCTTATTCCGTTTTACGACCGCAGATACATATGCGGAAGAAGCTACACCATCCCAGGAGTAAGCTTCAACGGAAAAGCGAAAAACAAAAGGAAGATTTTGCAGAACCTCTTGAAGAAAAGAAGGCTTCGAAGAATCCATGAAATTGTAATCTAGCACGAAATATTGAGTATTACAATAACAATCTACCGTAGTAATCGATATCGATCCTGTAGTATCCCTAAGCTTCTCCGATTCCTCCATTTCTTTTTCCCTGAAGTTGTTAGAACAGAACGAGAATTTTCAATGAGAAGGAACCATAAAAATCGCAGAGCAGCTAAAATGGACTGGTATTCCCTTAGTTGACGCAATGAAGAAGCTGATTTTGAGTAGAAAACGTAAAATGGACCCAGTCTGGAAAGATCCAGCCGAAACTCACACTTAATTTGATTTAGAACTAAAGCTTTTTCGTTTGTGTGTGGAGATAAAATGATAAATTAACGACCCCACTGATCAAGCCTTAAACAAGCCAAGGAAAGAAAGA